CAGGCGAAGCGGAAATAAAGGGCACATTGGTAATTAAAAAAATCGATGATAAAAAAAAAAAAAAAAAGAAAAAACCAAGGTACATATTGTTCTGCACAGCATGACGTTTTTTTTTTTTTTTTTTTTCAACCTTCGTCGACTCTTTTACCAAGGTGCATATTGTTCTGCACAGCATGACGGTTTTTTTTTTTTTTTTTCAACCTTCGTCGACTCTTTTCTTTTCCTTAATTGAACCTTTCTCCACCATTTTTTTTTCCGTTCAATTTTTTAAAACCTCAGTTTTTCGACTTTTAGCGTTTCTCGACTTTCTGTTTACTTTTTTTAATATCGACTTCTCGACTTTTTTTTTTACCTTTTTCTTTTAGCCTTTCTCCACTCACTTTTTTTCTCAACCTTTTTCGATTCACTTTCCTCCACCACTTTTTTTTTTTTAACTTTTTCAATCCTCGCTTTTTTTTTTGTTTTTTTTTTTTTTACCTTTCTCGACTTCCTGTTTTCTCTTTTGAACTTCTTTCTCGACTCTCAACTTTTTTTTTTTGTTTTTTTTTTTACCTTTCTCGACTGTCGACTTATCACCAAAAAGTGCGCACATACAATGTATCCGCATCACAATGACAGATATGATCCAACACATCACCACCCGTCAAAACCAAATGCGAGGGGGCGGGAGGAGGGTGGGGGGAGGGGAAAGAAAACAAAAACGGAAAAGATATATAGTGAGCGAGAAAGGAAAAAGAATACTCGGCGAGAGAGAAAGACTGAAAAAGAGAAGACAGACGGAGTGATGAAGATACATACGCTCCCCATTTGTGACTTTTCTATTTTGCATTTGCACGGATTTTCCATTTTCTTTCTTTCACGGAGGACGTTACCAATCAATCAATCAATCAATCAATCAATCAATCAATCAACCAATTAATCAATCAATCAACGTTGAATGATTTGATTGATTCAACATTGATTCAACGTTGATTGATTGATTGATTGATCACCCGTTCAAGAAAACCCTGACTCGGCGAATGATTGGTTGATTTATATGCTCTTTACGCAAGTTGCCGTTCGATTGTGTTCCCTCTCACTCTCTTCTTCACGTGATGATTTCAACCTTCGCGCGAAAGCACACACATCCTTTTTGACAACATTCACAGAAAGAACAATCCGTCCGCTGAACTCCGTAGTAGGCCGTTCCGAATCAAGACGCTCCCTATCAAGGGGAGAATGGAAGCGAAAATGTCCATTCAAATAACTATCGAAAAACAAAAAAGAAAAGATGACGGTGGCGGGCCAGCAATGACGCCAATGGGCAAAGTCACACATGCATACGCAAGTACAAAAAAAAAAAAAAAAAAACTAGGCAAATCAATCAATCAATGAAATCCATCCATCCATCAACCAATCACTCGTTCAACCAATCAATCAATGAATGGATGGATCACCCACTCACTCTATCAATGGATCAACCAATCAATCAGTCAATCAATCAATCAATGACTTAAGGGATCAACCAATCAACCAGTCAATCGATCGATCGATCAATCAACCAATCAATCACTCGATCAATCAATCAATCAATCAATCAATCAATCAATCAATCAATCAATCAATCAACCAGTATCTGCGGGTTGATGAATGAACGAGCTTAAAGAAGGTGGAGTCGACAAGAAACAAGAACAATTACAATGACGAAGGAAAAAAACGATAAGGAGGAAAAGAAAGACGAAGAAGAAGATGAAGAAGAAGAGGAGCGTGGAGAACGAGGCGAGGTCAATCACTAATCATCCATGCATTTCACCGTTCACACCGCAAGAAGCCCCCGCACGTACGGAGGGACATCATCCTCCCCCCAACGCGCACACTCCCCCCAACGCGTTTCGCCTGCCTGCGCTCCAAAACGTGCTGGACACTTATCAAGAAGGGAGGGGCTCTCCACGCTACCAAGATCCGCCCTGAAGACGTATCAATCAACAACTCCATTGCTATACTAAAACAGTGTCGTTTGCTGCCTGTCACCTGCTTGCTTAGTCCACCTACAGCAGGTGAAAGACACTCAAACAACACTACTTATAACAACAGAGAGATAGATCACAACAAGCAAAGAAGACGAAGAAGACGAAAAAGACGAAGAAGATGCAGGCAGAAATTGAATCCAGTTGCATCGAAACAAGGTATATATAGCGATGCCGATCTCTACACATCCACGCATTCATTCAAGAAGAGTCACACAACCTCCTGCATTGACATCACATAGCTCAAAATCCCGCACATATTCCCCGACCACGTCCGAAGAAGACGACGTCGATCGAAGAAGAAGAAGAACAAGACGAAGAAGAAGAAGAAGAAGACGAAGACGAAGACGAAGAAGAAGAACAAGAATTCAATTGAATCCTTACGCTTCACGTGCCGCTCCCAAGAATCGAACACGCGCCCTGAGCTCCCGGTCAGGAGGCAAACACTCAACCAAACGGCTAAGTTGACTGGAGTGAAAGTCAAGCCCCAAGAAGAAGAAGAAGAAGACGAAGAAGAAGAGGAAGAAGAGGAAGAAGAAGAATCGAAAAAAACAAAAAAAAACGAACACTGAAGCAGAAACGGCGAGGCCAATCACCACTCATCCATGCTCACAAATAATATGTTAGAAGCCTACATGGCTACATGGACAGTCAAGAGCTCACCAATAGTGAAAACAGTTCTCAGAGTGAAATAGTGGAAACAGTAGTCAAAATCGCGCCCATACATAGACTGTTTCTCTCGTAGTAGTACACGCATCGACAAAAATAAACTCAATACTTCTCCAACAAAAATATACAGTCCCCCCCTCAGAATGAAACGAACGCGCAATTTCCCCGCCGCGTTTCTGCTAATCAGAGGCTGCGCTCCTGGCACTCACTCACTCACTCACTCACTCTTCAGCAGCAGGGGCCTTTTCCCCAGCAGATCCGCCTTACGGCCCCACCAGACGTTCCGATCCAGCAACTGAGAATAACCCCCTCAAGTTTTATGAGCTATGTGATGCCCCCAATCGCGCCATTCAACATCTACTACGCATACAACAATCATTCAAACAAGCACCTGCATTGACATCACATAGCCGAAGGAGGAGCAGAAGGAGGAGGAGGAAGAGGGGGAGGAGGGGGAGGAGGAAGAAGAATAGCGAGGCCACTGGTCAGGAGGTGGTCAAGAGAAGGATGACGAAGAATAATGGAGGCACCAATGCGAGTTTTACCTTTTCAATCAATGCATTGAAGAACTCTTCAGCATCTTGTTGCCTGTACCCGAATTGATCTCCGAAGAAGTGCCTCAGAGCGTCAGGTCTGCACACCCTCGAACCCGTATTCCGGAGTCCTCTCAGCGACAGGAAGATGGCCCTTAGCGCCGCCGACACACTCCTCACCGGGATCTGATCCGTGTACGCAGCCCACTGTTCCACGACCCTATCGCGGATCGCTGGGACATAAAACAATGCCTGAAGAACGGCATTCTGATAGCAATAATTGCCGGTGTTCTCTAATCCCACCGCATTACTCACAATGCTTTCCATAATCGAACTGTCCATTTCTCTGCTGCTGCTGCTGCTGCTGCTGCTGCTGCTGCTGCTGCTGCTGCTGCTGCTGCTGCCGCTGCTGCCAACTAGATCTACCCACCGCTACTTCAAATACAAAAGGCCCTCCTCCTCCTCCTCCTCCTCCTCCTCCTCCTATATCCTTTTCTACCTTTCTTCCTTCTCTCTCCTTCTTGCCCGTCGTCGAAGATCAACCTCCTCCCTCCTCTTTCTCTCACTTAGTTCCTTCTCTTTTTGCTCTCGCTCCTATTTTTCCTCTCTCCTTCTCTCCTTCTCTCCTTCTCTCCTTCTCTCCTTCTCCTCCTCACTCTCCTCGTCTCTCCTCCTCCTCCTCCCTCTCCTCCTCCTCCCCCTCCTCGTCTCGCCTTCTCTCCCCTCTTAGAGGATAACCTCCACGACGGCGCCGACGCTCTCTCAATCTGCGGATCGGGATCGTCTGAATCTTGCGCGTGGATATGTAATCGCCCCCGTCAGCGTTCCGTCCCCTTGTCGTCTTCTTCAGGACCTTTGTCTCCCTTCTTCCTTTCCTTCTTCTTCTTCCTCTCCTTCTCCTTCTTCTTCTACTTCTCCCACTTCTCTCCCTTCGTTCCCCTCTTAGTGGCAATAGGGGAACTTTTTAGCTCTTGATGTATCTGGACTGGTTAGAGTCCAGGGGGTCCAGTGCTTTACAAATATATTGTGGCGCGGACACGGGGAGACGTGCAGTACTCACTCCTCTCACGCTTCTCTCCCTTCGTTCCCCTATTGCGACTAAGTATCGCCGTCGCCTAGAGAGAGAGAGAGAGAGAGAGAGAGAGAAACTCCTCTTACACTTTGTCTCCCTTCTGCTTCTCCTCTCTCTGCCTTCTCGTTCCCGTCTAGCTTTTGTCTCCCTTCTGCTTCTCCTCTCTCTGCCTTCTCGTTCCCGTCTAGCTACCAAGTATCCCCGTCGCCTAGAGAGAGAGAGAGGGAGACAGAGACAACGACAGAGACACAGAGAGAGAGAGAGAGAGTGTTTTCTTTGACTTTCTCCGCCTTATCGTTCTCCTCTCTGTGCCTTCTCCTTTCCGTATTGTGACCAAGTATCAGCGTCGCCTAGTGACGTTTACCAACGCTACTACCTAGTGCGGAAAGTGGGGTAGCAAGCTGATCCGATCCCACCCAACCTCACCCACTCTGTGCTCTTTTCTACCTGCCACCTTTCGCTGCTCTCACTTCTCCTAGTACATGTCCTTAAAAGCGAGAGACCGTAATCGGATTTATATATTCCATTATGCAGTATTATATTATTATATTATATTATTTGCATTATACTATATTTATTATATTATGTACAATATGTTATATTACTATATTATATTTAGAATGCTATAACTAGAGCGAGCAACGGGGGCGCCCTCAATCTGCGACTATCTGATCTGTACTTGGTCGTAATCGACGGAAAGGACAGACAGTCAGGATGTCCCTCTGTGAGAAAGCGAGAGAGAGAGAGAGAGAGAGAGAGAGAGAGAGAGAGGCAGAGAGAGAGCGGAGGAAGTGCGAGGCCTAGTTGCTTCACGTCCTCAATGGCTGACCATTAGACCACCTCAAAAAGGATGTTGAAAGAGAGATCCCTTCCCAAAAAAAAAGAACAAAAAGAAAAAAAAAGAAGAAAAAAGAAAAGGAGAGATCCCTTCCCAAAAAAAAAAAGAAAAAGAAAAAGAAAAAGAGAGATCCCACGTGCCGATCGCTTGATAATACACCTAAACAAAAAAAGATGTCGAAGGAGAGATCCCTCACCAAAAAAAAAAAAAAAAAAAAAAAGAAAAAGAAAGAAAGAAAGGAGAGATCCTACGCGTCAATCGCTTGATAATGGAAAAGCTATGATGCATGCATCTGGCCTCATTCGCGACTAGATTCCACAAAAGGTGTGACCACGTCCTGTCTCTTATACACATCTAGATGTGTATAAGAGACAGGTTATAGCATCATGTATCCGCCCTCAATCACATCATAAGGGATTTTTTTTTTTTTTTCGGTTGTTTGTCTGCTACACGCCCTCAGTAAGGGCACAGTCACCACGAGCACCTCATATTGTGGCGTTGGGGAAGTTTCTTTTTTTTCCTTTTTTTTAATTTTTTTTCCTTTTTTTTTATTTCCTTTTTTTTTATTTTTTCTCCTTTTTCTTCCTTTTTTTCCTTCTATTTTGTTTTCCCCCTTGTCCCTTCTCGGACGAAACTGCCCCGGCTCGGCGGTTAAAAAAATAAAAAAAAAAAAACGCAAAAAAAAAACAGAGCGTCACCGGCAGCCGTCGATCTCCGTTTAGCTACGGATCTCCGTTATCTACGGACAGCGGACAGTGTCTCTAAGGAAGGGCCTCTCCCCACCACAAAACATTCTACATGTACCTGGATCTAATAAACGTCCGGATACATTCAAAATGATGGAATCTTCCGAATGCATCTGCTCCAGAAAAACGCGCTCAAATCCATGTAGATATAAAGCGCCCCCTGAAAGATGTAGAAATAAATGGATGGACCGAGGCCCTTATTCCGAGCAAGTGGGGCCTTGCGTCCCCTCATAGATACAGAAAAATAAAGCGCCAGGGAGAATTGAACCAAAAAAAAAAAAAAAACGAGCGAACTGAGGAAAACTCACCATTTTTTTTCCTTTTTTTAAATTTTATCTCAATGATTCAAGTTCTCCACTCGCTCGAGGTAAGTAAAACAAAAAAAAAAAAAAAACGGGAAAATACTAATGTTCAATTTTCGTCAATGGATCATCATCTCTCTCGACTGCTGCGAAAAAAAAATTGTTCTTATTTCCCATCCCAAAAATAAAACAAAATTGTTCTTATTTCCCATTCCAAAAATAAAAAGGCGAACGTTTTCCCGCCTTCCACCGCCTACTATGTGTCATTTTGATTTTACAAAACTCAATATAAGTCCGACGGTCTTGAGATATTATCATATTAAAAAAAAAAAAAAAAAAAAAAAAACTCATATTGAACCAACGGGACTGGCCCCACGTCATTCAGAATTGTCATTTTTTTTCTGTTCTGTCATTTTGTGTTCATGTGATTGCCTACGAATTCGAGCCACACAACACTCTAAATGTATCTGGATCAAATAAACGCCCAGATACATTCAGACACACTGTCCGCTTAGTATTCCAACAGTTTATTGATGTGTACCGTAGCTAAGCGGACAGTGTCTCTAAGGAAGGGCCTCGGTCCACCACACAACATTCTACATGTACCTGGATCAAATAAACGTCCGGATACATTGATAATGTTCGAATCGTCCGGGTACATTCAAAACGTTGGAACATTCCTCAGGTCGTTGTGTGTGTCTCCAGTTCGGAGGAAAAAAAAGAAAAAAGAAAAAAAAAAGGAAAAAAAAAGAGGAATGAAGTTAATCTTTTCTTTGATCTTTTCTGTGATACTCCGTATGTAGTCTTCCATGTACAAAGATCCACTGTCGAACGGATTTCTTTTTTTTTTTCTTTTTTTTTTTTTTGAAGGGCGATGGCCTTGAGGTATTATCATCGGACAATCTACGTAGTTATGTATTATTCGTAATATTAATCAAAAACAAAAGAAGGAAGGATAACCCAGACAGGCGAAGCGGAAATAAAGGGCACATTGGTAATTAAAAAAATCGATGATAAAAAAAAAAAAAANGAGCAGACCTACAGTAGTAGGAAAGCTGATACAACAAGGAAGATAGATGACCCACGTGTTGCCACGTGTCAATTAATCAATCAACCAATCACTGTAAGATCGCTGGGAGAGAGAGAGGAAATTATCCACGAGTCGGAATCGCGATAAAAGTATACAATTGATTGGCTTCGAGTATTCACTTGATTGATTGGAATCTGAAATTCGTGGGCGAATTGCGCTAGAGCGCGACTCTACAAAAGAAGAAGCAAAGCGTGTTGAGGTTCTTCTCCGACAACCACCGCCCTCTCCCTCCTCTTTTTCGGCGTAAAAACTCTTTCTGATCAGGAAAGAGAGACTCCACTGCGGAGTGGGTGTACTCACACTAGCAGTTCCTCAAATGTATATGGCCGCATTCACGGCCATACCTGGATGTATCTGGCCGCAATTCCATCCAGAAATACGTAAAGAAGTCGTCGTGTGAGCATATGCCCTTTTCCTCGTATTCTCGTTGTACTCAAGGAAAACATGAGATATCCTTCTTCAACTCCTCGCCTGCCCGCTATCCGTCGCTCACTCATTTCCCTCCCCCTTCCTTAGCCCATACTCACACTCATAGTTTCTTAAATGGATCTGACCGAAATTACGGCCAGACCTGGATGAATCTGACCACGATCACGTCCAGAGCTTAGTACAAAAAATTCCTAGTGTGAGCATGCATGCGCTCACTTTCCAAACCTCTGCCCCACACATTGGCCTGTTCGGTCGACAGATTTGGAATGTCTACCCGCCACACCCCACCGGATTAGGAAAATCTATCCCCCTTCGTCACTCTCACCGCTGCATGCCTCCCCGTCATCCTTTACTATTCTCCTACAGCTTCTTCTACTGCCTCCACTCTTGCACGATGCTGCCGCCACCTCTCTCTCTGTCTCTCTCTAATCTATCCCCTTCGTCTCTGTCACCCCTGCATGCCTCCCCGTCCTCCTTTATTATTCTCCTACAGCTTCTTCTCCTGCCTCGACTCTTGCACGATGCTGTCGCCACCCCTCTCTCTCTCGCTCTCTCTCTCTCTCTCTCTCTCTCTCTCCGTCCTCCTTTATTACTCCTACAGCTTCTTTACTGCCTCGACTCTTGCACCATGCTGCCGGCACCTCTCTCTCTCTCTCTCTCTCTCTCTCTCTCTCTCTCTCTCTGTGTGTGTGTGTGTGTGTGTGTGTGTGTGTGGAGAGTGATGGATAGATCGTGAAGGCACCACTATCACGAGTTCCTTGTCCTTGCGTGTTGATGTTCGTGGTGCCAACAAGATATGATATGAGAGGTACAAAGGATCTTAGTTAAAAACAAAGGAATCATGAAGATTTTCCTGTCTGAAACAGTGGCCTGCGAGGGGCAGCACCGCGGGAAATGGGGCGGGCGGGAACCCTCGAAATTCGAGCGCACGTGCGCAACGAATAATGCAAAAGAAAAAACCTTTGTGTTAATTACTAAACCGTACTTGTGCTGGCGCAGGTTTGCGAGCGGAGTCTCCGCCGTTGCTCCAGGTAGCGGTCATGCGCAAAGCTCCCCGATGGCGCAGCCTTCCTTTCTAAATATAGGAAGTACGTTTCCTACTGTCGGTGTGAAAGGCAGCGTCGGCGTCGTTTCGGACGAGTTACAAGGCCTCCTGGCCCAAGACCCCAGGTAAGGGTCCCATATTGACAGGCTCCTCTGGTCCTGACTCTTCTGCAAATGGGCGGGAGAATTCCCGCTACTTTCTGACTAAGATAAGGGCCAATAGGACCCCTCTGAATTGGACGCTTATTTATATTCGCGGGCGCGGGCGGAACCGACGTACCTGCCCGCAATCATGGCCACATCCGCTGGAAAAAGTGCAAGACTCTTTATACCTTAACGAACTCGCTAGTGCGCTGAGGTTGCAGATATATGTCTCCAGGATCCAATCCGGATGCGCCCCGATCCGATCGGACATTCCACGACGACTTCAAATTAAATACTGCGACAACAGCGCCAAGCGGTTTTCCAGACGAATCTACCCGTCCCTACGGTCGCATACGGACACTCCACCGCAACCTACTCCGACACGGGATTTTTCAAACCGAATCTACGCGCACTTACGGCCAGATACGGAAGCTCCGAGACTGCCACCGTGCCGCGTTCCTCACACATTCAGGCGCCGCACCGCTTGCCAAGCCCCGGTTCCAACTGGGACTCGAACTGGAACTGGAACTCTGGAGCTCGATCCCCCTCCGCACCGCGTCTATCTATATACCTATATGCTTATATATTTATATATATATATATATATATTTGTGACGATATATATATATATATATATATCGTCACAAATAGATATATAAAAATACCCATCCAATCCCTGGCACACTGCCCAAAAAAAGACACAAAAAGTCGCTCTTCAAAGTCGGAGGGAGGTTT